TTGCTTGGCACACAGATCCAGAAAAGTGATCTTGTGGATCTGAAAGTTCTGCAGCCACTGCTCGTCATCCCAAACCTGCATCATGATGCGATCCCACCAGTCAATGCTCATTTCTCAGACCCAGAAGTGGTGATCCACCATTTGCAGCGGATCCATGAATGCCACCAATAACCTTGAATAGGTTCTCATTATGTCCTCATAGCAAACTGACAGCCAGGAAACTGCCATGTTCCCCATGGTTATTCTTGTGGCTCAGCAAATACCAAAGGATTGTGCATCCTATGTTTGCAATGCTCATGACAGTAGTGCAGAGCTGTGCAGGCTCCATGCTTCTGTTAGAGACAAGTCCCACGCGGGTTAGTAGGAAATTGAAAATAGGCACAAAATTATGGGATATAGATGATATTATGGGATGGAGAACACTGCCTTATGGAAAGTTGATCTCTCATTCTCAGTCACCTCCGTGCGAGTCGTTTCTGCCCCGTCATGCATTCCCAAAACTGCCCAAAAGACAGTGCGCTGAATTGTGGCAGGTTGCACACGGGGATACCTACCCATGGTGCACTGCACTGTGAATCGACACAAGCACTCTTGGTGAGCATGTGCAGTGCGGACACAAGGAGCCAAATATGCACACACAAGCGATGGACTAACTGCAGCGGCTGTACGCCAACGTAACTTGTGACAGCAAAACTTTGTCGTGTAGACATGGTCTTGCAGAATAAACACAGCCAACTCCCTTCTCCCTCAAGAAGTAGAAGGAGGAGGTCACAGTTTACCAGGTACTTCCTTCCCACTCCAGCTACTACGTGGGAGATGAAGGACCTAGCCCTGTTGACTTGGCAGGTCACCTTTTAACCCTTTTCTCACTCCTTCCCAATGTTCCGTCCTTCCCTGTGTGTTCTTTACCCTCTTCCCAACTTTCCCATCATTCTTCCTTTATCCTACTATGCCCTTGAACTCGCTGCTCAGCCCTCTTTTCAGTCTCTTATTGCTTTGTTTCTGCAGCCCCTTACTGTCAGGCAGAAGAGCAGCCACTTTCCCCCGAGTAAGGAAAGCAGTAGACTAGCATGCTTGAAAATGTCATTATGAGAGGATGTCAGTGATTGGTAAAAGTGGAGCACAGTGATGATACCTCACAAATTCTATAAGCTGGGTCTGAAGTTAAGAGATAACAACTCAACTTACACTTCTGCAGAAAGCCCAGTTCTTAATGGGTCAAATTTTCCAAGATGCAATTTTTGTGAGGGGCTGACTTGCATGCACTGAACGCCTCATATGGGCATGCTAGTGAGGTTTACGAGCTCAATGCCCATCTTGCACATCTCTGGGCATGCAAACTGGATGGGGGGAAAACTGTATCTTTGTAAATCTATCCCACTGCGTTTTTCTCTTAAAAAATAAGATAAACCAAAATCAAACACTTTTCGACATTAGATCAAACACAGGAAATAGAGAGTTTACTTTGAAACCAATGACTAAAGACTAAATTAAAGCTTACTTTGGCAGATAAGTTACACTGGCCATTTGGGAGGGGCAGAGAAATTGTTCAAACAGAAGGAAGAATAGGAAGAACTTGCTTGTTTTGGCTCCTTTCTCCCCTTTTTCCATTCTCTATCCCATTTTTCCTTTCTTCTTCTCTTGTGTGTAACACCCACAGATTTCCTAATGAGATGGTATGCGACCCACCACGCACTACAGTGTGGGTGTAAATGAAAGAGCTGTGTAAATTAACAAGTAACTTGCACAGAGATTTTACTCATGTGTCACAAACAGGGAAGGCAATATATACCTCCATAACGTCAGACAGAGAAATCTGTTAGCTGATGATTTTCTCCTTGAAATATCCAAGGTGACTCCTCTCTGCTCCGCAGCCCTAAGAGGCAGGTCCAGACTGCCAATCAAAGAGAGGTGGCTTGGCTCCCACTTCTGGGGAAATCCCCAATTATAACATTTTTCAGCTTTAGAAGATGATGTTTAGGAATTTCTATTAACCCCATTACAACACAACATGAATTTTTCCTGCAATACAAAATATAACAGAGTGGTTGTGCACATTTCTTTGTATGACACTGAGGACTGTTCAGATTGTGAAGTAGTCATTTCCCAGATCTTGTGTGCAGTGACTTATTCTGAAGGGTTCCAGTTCCTTTCTGTAGAACCCAAAGATACAATATTTTTACCATCTATTAACTAAAGGTTTTATTGCCTTGTTTAAGGGCTGTTAACTGGTAAAGTGTAAAAGTTACTGGCCTGTGGATCTTCTGACTAGCTGGCTCCTGATGAGATGGATTCTGATTGCCCTGGTGAACATTCACATATTCCTTTGTTTCTTTCTGAGGTGTACTGGCTTAGTGTAGAACATATGAATGCTGGACTTAGGCAAAGCACTTCATTTTCTCAGAGTGCCGTATTGAGGCACCATAGACAGGGCTTCCAACTCAAACGTTTAAGGCAGAGAGGGCGTAAAAAGATGACTTGGTAAGGACATTCAACATCAAATCGAGTTTCCATGGAATTTTCTTTTTTTTACATTTATTTTCCATCTATCAGTAATTAGTGGGAATTAATCCAGCAAGGTGAATGGGATGATAGTTCTGGCAAATCCAAAATCTAGAGCCTCCAGGGTCAGAATGGAGTCATTAATGTTACTGATGACTTCTTTTGACATATTTGCCTTTAGGGTGTTTGTTATCAGGGGAAATGTAGACAAGACACATAGATCATCAGTTTGCCAGGGCTGGAACAGCGTGCCAGTTTTCTAATTAAAAGGTTGCTTTAAATTAACAACTCACAAATGTGTCAGGCTTCATATATACTCTCAGATTAACAACTTATACAAGATACCTGCCTGCGCATCTGAGAACAATTAAATTTATTTTCACACAATTACTTTTAAACACACTTTATTTGGGCAGCTACCTTTTTAAAAACATATATATTAAAAATGTTTCTCAGTGGGAAAAAACATTCCTTAGCAGGATTTCTTTTTAAAATGGTATCCTTTTCTTTTTTCATAGGAAAATTCTATTTGTTTTCTCAAAACCAGAAATATAAGAGGATCTAAAAGTTCACATGCTTTATAAACATTGCACAGTTCACTCTTTTAGGGGGATAAATTAAGGTTCCCAACTTGCAGGAAAGGCTTTTAAAAAAATCTTTACTGGCCTCCAGCACTTTCTACTTATATTCTATTTTGTACTTGTGGGAAAAAAATAGTCATGTCATAGCAAGCTAGTTCCCATGTATTCCTAACATATTTTTATAAAGGCTTCTACAATTATTTGCTGCCCTAATGAGCCACCAAAACTGTATTTAATCTTTGCTGTGCTTAATAAAAATATATGTTCATATTAATATTCATAACAGTAATTGCACTGGTACTGCAAATAGGGAGGAACTGGTTGAGAATTTGAAAGTGGAAGACAACTTGGGTGAAAGTGATCACGAAATGGTAGAGTTCATGATTCTAAGGAATGGTAGAAGGGAAAACAGCACATTAAAGACAATGGGTTTCAAGAAGGCAGACTTTAGCAAACTCAGAGAGTTGGTAGGTAAGTTCCCATAGGAAGCAAGTCGAAGGGAAAAAACAGTTCAAGAGAGCTGGCAGTTTTTCAAAGAGACATTATTAAGGGCACAAGAGCAAACTATCCCACTGTGTAGGAAAGAGAGGAATTACGGCAAGAGACCACCCTGGCTTAACCAGGAGATCTTCAATGATCTGAAACTCAAAAAATAGTCCTACAAAAAGTGGAAAATAGGTCAAATGACAAAGGATGAATATAAACAAATAATACAATCATGTAGGGACAAAATTAGAAAGGCCAAGGCACTAAACTAGAATTAAACTAGCTAGAGACATAAAGGGTAACAAGAAAACATTCTACAAATACATTAGAAGCAAGAGGAAGACCAAGGACAGGGTAGACCTATTACTCAATGGGGGTAACAGAAATAGTAACAGAAAATGTCGGTTGTGCTCAATGACTTTTGGGGGGGGGGGTCACCAAAAGGTTAGTAGCAATTGGACATCTAACATAGTGAATGCCAGTGAAAATGAGGTAGGATCAGAGGCTAAAACTGGGAAAGAACAAGTTAAATGTCTTCAAGTCACCACGGCTTGATGAAACACATCCTAGAATACTCACGGAGCTGACTGAGGAGATATCTCCGCCATTAATGATTATATTCGAAAAATCATTTAAGACGGGAGAGATTCCAGAGGACTGGAAAAGGGAAATATAATGGCAGTCTATAAAAAGGGAAATAAGGACAACCTGGGGAATTACAAACCAGTCAGCTTAACTTCAGTACCTGGAAAGATAATGGAGTAAATAATTAAGCAATCAAGAAAGGGAAGGGAAACTACCAAGTAGTTTATGCCCTAAAACAGTTCTACAGACTTAGATTTGAGTAAGAAGTATCTTCAGATATTAAAACAGTAATTTTAAAACTTCCCCTTTTTGTTCCCCCATAATAAAACCTATCTACAATATCCAGCTTAAATAAATGGCCCTCCTGTTTTGTTGTGTTTCTGCATACGATTAGCTAAACGAGATCACAACTTAACAAACCCTGCTACCAAGCTGTGGTAACAGAGCTGATTAAATGACTACCAATTCTAATCACAACAAAACGTGGTAGGTGAAATATACCTATTTGTCATACAGAACAAGGATAAAAAAATAAGGACGTAATCTCTATGTTTTGTAATTTTGGCGTTAGGTGAAATCATATAATATGTATGTGATGTGAGTGTATACAGAGAGAGAGAGATTCAGTCTAACTTAAGAACTTTTACATATAAAGAATATATATTCTTATATGGCAGAAACAATATATATATTTTTACATGTAAAATCACTTAAGTTAGACACTAGGTTCACTGGATTTCCTGGTAGGGACTATGTCATTTATAGCAATCAAAAACAGAATAAAAATAATTTCTACCATTTTTTCATTTTATTTACAATATTTAAAATTATTGTACTTGACCTTACCTTTTAGGGACAAGGGACTGGATTGTGTGCATTCCGTGTGTTTCCACTGGCCACGGTGTTTACGAGCTTCTAAGTAGTGCTTGACTCTTGAATCAATAGTGTCTTTTAGCAGCAAGCACAGTTCCTGAAATAGAAATCAGTTGCAAATTTATGTCTAAATCTATGCATCCTTAAAAATTAATATCAAAGCACTCAAAAATGTATGCAGAAACCCATTCTATGCAATTCTGCACTGTCATATTTTAAGGACTATTTTAAAGTATAAATAAATGGGGAAAGTAACTTTAAAACTGCAACAAGGGTTGGAAAAAGAATTAGACTCTTTAGATATACATTTTGAAAAATGAAAGGCAGAAATTACTAAATTACAATATTATGGTTATGGTCAAATATGACAAATTGTATGGCTGAGTAATTTCCCTAATCAATTTTACTGTGAAAATTCGCATTAACTAGATACATGAAATAAACATAACATGACATTAATATCACAAAAAGTGACATCGCTCTTGCTTTTGAATAGTAAATTATAATATTTTATTCAGGCAAAGTTAATAAATGATACATTTGAAAATGGAATCTACCATGAGAAAATTCATCCTCCATAACATGAAGGTGTAGTAGGGGGATTCTCTCAGGAATTTGTAATGTCCTAATTTCTCTTCTAGGATCCTTGTAAACAAGACCAAACTATTTTGGTTCAATTCCAGGAGATACTTTAGGGAAGGCTAGAAGTTGAGTAGGTCACGGAGAACTAGTTTCACTGGTTTACTTAGAATTCATTCCTAAATTTAACTGTTTACACCTTGAAAACTTATTTAAACACATACTACACACATACAAACACACACACACACCATTCAAAAGCACCCGAGCAAAAGCTTTAGTACAGGAAGCACTTGAATAAAATAAAGACTTCATCTCAACATAGGCTGACCGGATAGCAACTGTGAAAAAACGGGACTGGGGTGGAAGGTAATAAGCGCCTATATAAGAAAAAGTCCCCAAAAATCGGACTGTTCCTTTAAAAACAGGACATCTGGTCTCAACAGTACTTTGAACAAATTCTCAGTTGACTGTATATGGACTCGTTTTGGCCTCTCTCTCAATATTCCCGTTTTCCATTGCACAGTATCTTGTTGTCAAAGAACTGATGCTTTGTTGGACACCAAGATATAATTTTAGGTTTAAATTTTTCATGTTCAGACAGATGAAAAATTAAATGAGTATTTTTTTTAAATTAAAGATTTTTGCAGGGATCAGCTATGACTAATCTAGAAAATATGCAAAATAGACACATGAAAACAGATGATCTAAACACAGGTATAAATGATTAGGTCTCAAAATAATGTACTACATGCATATCAATGATCCATGCACACTATTTTCTCCTTAATGTTAGAATGACGTTTTCATTTTAATGAGAGAGCACACATAAAGCGTGGGTTCTTCGTATCTAGTCTGCTGTTTAACTCGTCAAAGTAACCTCATTGCACATTCTCCAATGGAAAAAAATATTTTTAATTAAAAAAACAAACAAACCCAGGAAGTAGCTGAAACATCAGATGCACTTGGTTCCCTTTGCAATAATAAAGATTAATATAAACTTCCTTACATCTATATTCAAAATATTTCTTTTAGCTGTCGTGTTTATGAAGAGATTACTGGACTAGAACTCAAAATAAACATAAGCATACCTTTTAAAAATGTCAACTGGCGCTTTTATCAAAGAAAATTAATATCCCTCTTTTTCACTTATAAAATAGAATTGTGAACTCAACTGAGCTTGTTAATGAGGCATTATAGCTACACACATATAGCACAGCAATGAAACTGATGCAACAAACTTATCAGAATACAAAATTGTTGTTAAACTATAAAGCCACATCTTCTACTCCATTACCTCTAGGGAGAGGGTGAGAAAGGCAGAAAAGCAGAGGAAGTTACTCAAATTCATCAAAGAAAGGGCAACTGAGTCAATGCAGCAGCATTCTCCCTCCCCACCCACAAAGAATACCCTACAGACAACCTCTATGTAGTGGTGTTCAACCTGGGGTCCTCAAGGCTCTAAACTGGACACCAAGTGTGATTGTGTTAAGAAGAAAATTTGTATCTGATTACAAACTGAAAATGTGTTTGTGACGTTGCACTCTATATGATTTTATGAAAATATGCTGATGAGTATGAATATAATGTAACTGGGATATGCTTCATGCATAAGGTCTCTTGTAAGGTATCATTACAAAGCTTATAATCTACTGAGTGTGGTCATCCTATTTGTATAAATGTATCACTCTTGTGTCTGAAACTAGAAATATAAAATATAACTCTGAGGGCCTATTGTAATTATGCAAAGTGTGGGCCATTAATGGTGGTTTGGAACCTTGATGGCTCCAATCAACCAGGACAATTGACTGCAGATGGCTCTGTTTTACTTGTAAGTCTTCCTGTAGACGTGTGTGCTGGCAAGTGAGTAATGAAGTCTTACAGTGACATGTGATCATGTCACCTGAACTGGAATCCATCTTTAACCTGGTGCTTTTCCATTGAGAAGGAAGGGGTGGGAACCCAGAGAGGGATGAAGGATTCCCGCCTTATGCAAAAGATATATAAGTGGGTGGAACAGTACAAAGGGGGCAGCCATCATGAGAAATCCTCTAGCTACCACCTGAGCTGGAATAAGGGCTGTACCAGGGGAAAGGACTGTGCCCAGACTAGGAAGGTGTCCAGTCTGTGAAAGAAACTTATTGAAACATCTCTGAGGGTGAGACCTTATCTATATTCAGTTTTATTATTGTATTAGACTTAGATTTGCGTGTTTTATTTCATTTTACTTGGTAATTCACTTTGCTCTGTCTGTTACTACTTGGAACCACTTAAATCCTACTTTCTGTATTTAATAAAATCACTCTTTACTTATTAATTAACCCAGGGTATGTATTAATACCTGGGGGAGAGGGGGCAAACAGCTGTGTATATCTCTCTATCAGTGTTATAGAGGGTGAACAATTTATGAGCTTTATACAGGGTAAAACGGATTTATTTGGGGTTTAAACCCCATTGGGAGTTGGGTATCTGAGTGTTAAAGACAGGAACACTTCTGTAAACTGCTTTCAGGTTAAGTCTGCAGCTTTGGGGCACGTGGTTCCGAGCCTGGGTCTGTGTTGGAGTAGACTGGCGGGTCTGGCTCAACAAGACAGGGTGCTGGAGTCCTAAGCTGCCAGGGCAGGAAAGCAGGGGCAGAAGTAGTCTTGGCACATCAGGTGGCAGTTCCCAAGGGGGTTTCTGTGATCCAACCCGTCACAGTGTCTTTTACTAGAGGTTCCCCTCAGCCCAGGCACAAACACTAGAGCTCCTATCCTGCTTTCCACTGACTCAGTCAGAGAAGTAGATAATGGAGCAACCAGTCTCTCTCCTCCTTCTACCAATGCAGTACGGTGCCAATGGGGGAAGAGCTGAGCAGCTACAAAAGGAAAGGGCCAGGAACACAGTATCATTCCCCTGCAAATTCATACATAATTCCCTATGTAATAGCCTTCCAGAGTGTCCCTCCCACACCAAACTGTCAGCAACTCATTGGATTTTGGCCCCGGGGCAATCAGAGAACCAATGGAATCAAGGTTCCTGAGAGACTTGGGTTGCTCTGGGGCAGGGAGTAGCCTGCACATCTCATAGTTCTACAGAGATCCTTGAGCACAGAGGAGCTGTTGTGATAACTGGGCCTACAAATTTACTCGAACGGAGCACAACTGTAAAAAGTGAGTGAAAGTTCATAAGATGTCACAATAACCTATAAACAAAAAATGTCGATGGGAAAAGGTAAAAGGAAGACAAAAAAACCTCCCTGAATTAGTCCAAACAAAAATGCCTACTGATTTAACACCAGGACTGTATAAAGATCATGCCTGGTAAACAAGAAGAGTGTGGGACTAGAAATTGAACCAAAACTTGGGAAGCACGTAGAGCCACGTGCCCACCCACAGGGGCCGCAGGGGCGCGTTGGCCCCTTCCAGGAGTGTCATGGCCATGTGGTGCACTCCTGGATGGCAGGGTGGGAGGGGTGGCTTGGCTCGTGATGGAGAGGAGATGCCGATGTGCCTGAGTGGGGCCGGGGTAGGCAGGGAGCCTGCCTTAGCCCGCTGCGCTGCCGCCCAGGAGCCGCCCGAGGTAAGTGCCCCCGGGCATGAGCCCTCACTTCAACCCCCAACCCTGAGCCCCCTCCCAGAGCCAGCACCCCTCATCCCCTCCTGCACCCCAACCCCCTGCCCCAGGATCAACTCAGAGCCCCCTCCTGCACTCCAAACCCCTCAGCCCCAGCCCAGAGCCTGCATGACCTCCCGAACCCCAACCCTCTGCCCCAGACCAGTGAAAGTGAGTGAGAGTGGGGGAGAGCCAGCGATGAAGGGGGACAGGGGGATGGAGTGAATGGGGTGGAGCCTCAGGAAAGGGGCAGGGCCTCAGGGAAGAGGCGGGGTAGATCCTGGGTTGCACTTAAATTCAAAAAGTGATCTTGTGCATAAAAAGGTTGGAGACCACCGATCTAAATTAATACAATGGGGTCTTCCCCCTTCGTGGCTCTGCAGAGTCTGGAAAAGGCCAGGAGGCAAGCCACAAAGTGATTAGTAGAAAACTGTGTCAGTTGAAAACTGAAAAGCTCCCAGGCCCTGCACCAAGTTTTTCTACATGGGGTATGATTTTGACTATGGTTTCTTATTAATCGTTTCCCTTCCCACCTTATTATATCAACACAAAATCTCAATAAGGCTTTTAAGGCATATGTTGTTGAGCTATTATAATCACATTTCTCAGCTGGTGAAGACACTCAACCCTTGTGCTTTACTCAAAGTGTGAGGTCACAGACAAGTATCAAACGCCCTGTTGTGCCTCATTATTAAATCCAATTTCCTGAAATTCATATCTTATATTTTGGCAGTCAAGCAAAATACTTTTTTAAAACACTGGGAAGTCAGATAAACTGGGACAGTAAAATCAGTTACAAACAGAAGCTTTAATGAAGATTCATTTACTCAGAAGCAAATGTTAAAGACTTTTCCTATAAACTTCTCTCCGGTTTCTAAGGCACAGATCAGTTGAATCATACTGCTAAATATTCTGCTCACCACCACCCCAGAATAACAAATTATTACGCCTTTTGATTTTACACTACTGAAGCAAAATATTTTGTGAGAAGTACTGGGATGTTCTGTGATGACAAGTCAATTATGCCATTATTAGGAAAGCGGTCTGCTGAAAAGTACCGTAACAGAGACTTGCGGGAAAGGACTGGCACTTGAGGCAACTTACATATCTCACATTCATTTTAATAGGAGACTCAAGTTCCCACAATAGCCTGTAATGGAGAAAAAAAAGCATCCAGTAAATTGTTACTAGATCCCAATAGAAATCATAGGAAAAAAATCTCATGGAAGGTACAAACTTCATGTCCTTGGTCACTGATGCATATTACAGTAATTATGCAACATTTCATCTATGGTCCTAAACCTAGTTCCTGTTTGGAATTCTAATGGACCTTTGAAGAATAAGGTTCGATTTTCATTCTACAGGAGATAAAAGATCTGCTGACACTATAGCCTGCATACCAAGACAACATTTTCTTGCACTTGTTATACTCTTGGTGCAACACTCGTATTTCTGAGAGCAAGAAAAAATAAACAATTAATAAAAAGACATTTGATAGGAACTGTAGAAAAGGACAGTATCCATCTTACATAATCTTCATTTTATTAATCATTTTCTTAGCTTAAGATAATCACACATACTCACTACAAGTATGTGTTTACATTATGTTCATAAATCTAAAAAATATCCAAGTCAGAATAGCGCACACAAAAAAGTTTAATATTTAAAAGCAGTCACTTAGTGACCTGAGGGGAGATAACACACATCACAGGCCTCGTAGTCCCAAAGGAGTTGTTCAGGGTTAGGTATAACTCACAATACTGAATACATCACAGTACTGAGAAGAAAATCTGAACAGTTCAATGCAATCCAACTTTTTCCCTGCAGCTACGTGCTTTTGAAGTAGAAGTGATTTTGTTGTACCTCCTTCTCATGATCTGAAAACCAGCTGGAGTCTCTACTGGAGCCTTGAGGCAAAATATGAAAATCCACTAGGACAGCAAAGTTCCCACACTGGAAAAAAAAAAGGGGGAAAGAAAGAAAAGTTAAGTAGTTGTTGTTGTGAGGCACACATCCAGCAGACAAGGAAATAAACCGTCAAGTGATCATAGTCAGAGGTGCAGTAGCCACAATTAAAGTCTGAGAGTTTTTTAACCTTTTTAAAGAAACATTTCATTTTTAGGTATGGAATTTCCAGTTTTAACAGGCATTCCACATATTTATAATGGGAAACAGTGCTAGAAACAATATTATTTTGCTTATTATAACATATCAAATAACAGATATTGCTACTTGTTAGATGTACCAAGCATAAGCACTCAGATTCTTGAGGATGTGCTAGTCACAGATCCACATTTAAGGCTGCGTTGTGTTTTGCACATAACTAAGGTGTTAAATCTTCACTTTATCTAAGAAAAAGACAACATATCCTCCCCAAATTTGCAGCACTTACTCTATTGAATTAATTTTCTGAGATGTTACAATTATTTTAGAGGTTAAAATAAATTTTAAAATGAGTCCCTTAAAAAAATTAGCAACTGTATCAGTCTTCTGTTTATCCTACATTATCTTAATAACAGAAAAATACACTCTTCGAACTTTCCATATATTTAACATTAATCGGAATCTTTTATCTGGCCTCTAAAGAAATTACGTTATATTATTAATGACTGTATCTAATCGTTAGGATTATAAAGGCTACAGCCAGGGTCATCTCAACAACTCAGATAACTCTTAAGTGGGGCCATTGTGATATCAGAGTTTCAACCAGTCACCATCCTTTCTTTATAATTAATTTATATGCAAGAATTCTAGTGGTTGGAATGAGACGGGATGTGAGGGAGACTGGACATATGAACCAAGAATCTTCACTGGTAGATAACTTGGCCCAACTGGCACTGCTGGGCTCCACTGGTTTGCCAGGCAAATAAGGCAGGAGTATAGTGGAGCCTTTCAAGTGCAAAAACATTAGGACTTTGAAGACTTTCATATAGCATCAGTCTCACTAAAACAGCTCTCTAACCCAATAAGTCAACAGCAAGTTAAGGGCCAATTCAGCACTGCAGTTTGGCTGCTTTATGCTGTTCTTATGGTGCAAGTCAGCTATAAACGCAACTGGTAAAGTGTGCTCTTTCTGTTTTGGCACTCTTGACCAAGTGGGATGGGAATGGCTGCAGCATCTCTTCCTAATACATTTGAACTTGACTTCATTCTTGAGAGGAATAATTTGGAAAGCTTATTAAAAAGCAAATTCAGTAGCAGCATTAGATAATGTTCACTGCTCATGTGTGAGAGGTATCCACAGGCTACTGGGGTAGAAAGCCCTTAATTCCCCTCCAATAGAAATAGCTACCAAGACTGGCTTCTTCACCGCTCTATTTCCCTTGCCCTTTATTGGAGCAAGAGAACTGAACCACAGATCACAGGGATACCTTCTCTCTTCTTAGCTTTTGTCAGACTAGCCTCTACTTTTTTCCCCAAAGTCATTCACTTTATCTTATGGCAAGTTCGGAAGTCTCTCCTGTTACTCATTATGAAAGCCAGATGAAGGCAGCCATGCTTATGTGCAGTTTCAATGTATGGAACACTTGTCCTCATCATCCTACCATCAACACCTTAGGACACCCATACCCAATGTCTGGCTGCATCCAGGCCATTAGGACACATATATATTCTTTGCATTTTTCCTGGGAGAATCTGTGAAGTAGTACAAGCCCCTTTCGACAATTTAAACTGTGCCTTGCAGTTTTCACTGCTAGCAGTTGCCACTGAAGAATGGCAAATCCTTTTTTCCTGTAAAGTGCCTCCGTTCATGGAGTAGGGGTTCCAGACCCTTAATCTAGACAGTCACAGTCCTGGCCACAGATGACTGTATCATCAGACTCTTGTAGGAAGAGTAGGAAACGGACTCCCAACGTTTGTGCCTTTTTTTTTATAAGCTGCCTTATCAATAGCAGAGATAAAATGAGGAGACTGCCACCCCTCCTACATCAGCTGGCGCAGAATAGGGTGCATGGGCAAAGCAATCCTTGAGTGGTTATCTTGTCAGATCCTGAAAGCTGCGCGGGGTGACATCAAAACGATATTTGGCTAGGGGACTATAAGAAACATAACTTGTTGCAAAATGTGAAGATGCCAGTTCAGTATGTAATAGTCTGCCCTATGAGACAGTAATGACCCATGGTGTTAGGAGGTACTGTGGTCTGACTGTCTCACTGTCTCAGGCATTTCTAAGGTGTCTAACACGATGATATCCAAGCAACATTGTTTATAAAAGACCTACTGCACATGGTCATTACAATACTCAGGAATTTTTCACAAAAGTAGGCAATATTATTCCTGGAGTCCTAGCCAAATCCCTGGATATTTACATTCTGCCACTTAAATTTCCCCTGTACTTTCAAATGGATATTCTATGCTTCACTTCCTGTCCCTAAATATTACAGGGTGTTGATTTTCACTGCTAAACATCTGCATATTCAACTCCAGCATTTCAGTTGTGGGAACAATTATTCCTAGTAACAGCAAAATAGATAAATTATAAAATAAAGCACTTTTTTTATCTTTGAAACTGAAAGGCACATCTAGACCTAATGTTCAAGGTATTACAGAAAGTACACTACTTGAGCGTCTCTTACTCTGAAAGAGTGCTAAATATGTTGAGCAGAAATCTAAAAAAAATGTACCATGATTTCATCATGGTGATTTTTACCAATTGCAATGCCATATTAAGTAAATCAGACATTTCTCCCGTTATTTCACATTTCAGATTAATACTTTTGCAGAAGTAATTACTGACCAGAAGCAGTCAACAACAGCTTACCTGCAATTACAAAATAATGTATGATCAACATTGTACCAGTAAGTAGAATACAAAACTCTGCCAGATGAGACAGGCATTGTGTAATCAGTTTGCAAAGCTTCTAAGTTACGTATAGGTATCACTCACTGAAAGAACAGAATGCTTTGATCTATTTTTCAAAAGGCGGCCTTCTCTTTCCTCCAGAGATCCAAGAATTAACAGATGGCTGCAATACCAAACCTCTCCAAGTTTTTAAACTGATGACAAAGTACCTCTAAAAACCTCTAGTGAATCATTATTTAGTCCCAGCAAACTTTTGATTTGACTGGCAAACTTCAAAGTTACAGACAGTACATAACAATATAGGTAATATAAAGCCATTACACTGCACACAATCAAACACCTGGCACACTGAAGGTATTAGTTATGATGAATTTTTAAATAATTGGTACATGCTAAATGTTACCTTAAGCCATTTTGTACTGAATATAAAAAATATAAATATTTAGGCCTGAAAGACATCAGCCTGAGGTCAGATTTTATTTTTTAAATGGTTTTTGTTTGGGCGCTAAAGTTACACATAAAAGGACACAAGGCAGAAAGGGATCACCAAGATACACCTCTACTTCGATATAACGCAACCCGATATAACACAAATTCTGATATAACGCGGTAAAGCAGTGCTCGGGGGGGGGGGGGGGGTTGGCACACTCCGGGGGATCAAAGCAAGTTTGATACTACACCGTTTCACCTATAACACGGTACGATTTTTTGGTTCCTGAGGACAGCGTTATATTGAGGTAGAGGTGTACAAGATGCTATGTGAGCAGTGGGCCTGCTGGGTCTCACTAATGCTAATTCTTCAAACACTTAGACCCTGCCCTGTGATGGAAGGAATGGCCCTTGTGCAGGCTTCTTTATACCTTGCATCTACACTACGCATCTGTCAGAAAAGCATCTCAACATAGCTGCTGCCACTGCAGCAGTAGAGAAAACAGCTCTCTGTACAGACTAAACTCCAATCCAAAGACGTTAAGGAAAAAACCCTGGGACTTACATTGCTCAGTATTGCTAACTCTAATGTTTTCATTACAAGTCTCACAATATTTGGTCTTTAAAGCCCAACCTCCTGGAGTCATGTGATTTCACGATGACAGGTTTCAGAGTGGTAGCAATGTTAGTCTGTATCAGCAAAAACAACGAGGAGTCCTTGTGGCACCTTAGAGACTAAATAATTTATTTGGGCATAAGCTTTTGTGGGCTAAAACCCACTTCATCAGATTCATGGAGTGAAAAATACAGTAAGCAGTATATATATCACAAAATGGGCAACGTCCACCTTGATTGCATTGGCCTCGTTAGCACTACAAAAGTAATTTCCCTCTCTTGATATTCACCCCTTCTTTTCAACTGTTGAGAATAGGCCACTTCCAACTTAATTGAATTGGCCACGTTAGCACTGACCCTCCAGTTGGTAAGGCAATTCCCATCTTTTCATGTGCTGTGATATATATACTGCTACTGTATTTTTCACTCCATGCATCTGATGAAGTGGGTTTTAGCCCACGAAAGCTTATGCCCAAAAAAATATGTGATTTCATGAGAATCTCAACTTTTTTCTGGGAAAAAAGTAAGTTTGTAGCCCTCATGGTTGCAGAGGAAAGCTTTAAAATGTGAACCCTAAATGTTCAAAAATCAAAGATAAATAAAAAGAACACATAATTAAAAAAAAAAAAAGATTTTTAAGCCAGTCTCATAACTTTGGGGAGCCTGACCCATGATTTTTCAAGGGTTGGGATTGGCAATATTGTAATCTAAAAATCTGATAACACTTAAAACTGTACACCATATTGAAAAATACAGTTAAAATTGGCATTTCAAAACTACTAGTAAAGACATTTTAGACATGTGTTATATCTAAATAGCTAGCAATCAAATGTTTATCCTGCCTTAATTTTCAATATAACCTTACTTTCCCCAGCCTGAAACATGTTGTTTATATATTAACCTTCATCACTTAATTATTAAGCAAAGGACTTAAAGTTATCTCAGGGTATTGCCAGTGTGTCATGGTCCAGCAACAGAATTTAATTAATTCATAACAACATTTCTGGGCTCAGGCAGCTTGCAAAAATACATTGATCATGTTATGGATTCCTTTAAGGGGACATAAAAATGTTTTTTTAACAGAATCAGAATAGAAACCACTAGGATATGGTCTGAATTTGTCAGTCAAGCAATGTCGCTTGCCTACAGCCTGCTAAAACGTTGGCCCGGGCTAAACTCAGATGAGTGACTCTGCACAGCCTGGCAAACAGGCAAGACTATTAAATCCAACACTCCAAAAAGCAGAAGAGGAATTAAAATAGACCGGTAAAGTTTATTTCTAAATTCAAATATGCACATAACCTGTTTCTGGTGCACACACTCTAGTTCCTGTCCTTGCACATTCATCATTACAAGTAGCCTGAAAAGAAAGGCAAGATCAAGGAAAACAATCTTGAGAATGGAGGGAGAGGAATGGTGATTTTACATTCAGTTTTGCCAGTCCAAAAGTGCTTTATCACCACCAGTCATTCCCTGGCAGCCAATTCCTTAGAGCCCTAATTTTTTGTGGGGTACGAGCAGCAAAACAATTCTCTGTAATCTTTGGTTAAAACAAAATCAGAGAAGAATGGAAACAGATTAGCTTTTTTGTACTGCTGTCGTCACAAATGATTTCATTTCTCAAGAAGATGCCTGCTGACTTCAACAACATGATCAACTTTAATTAAAACCATTTTGAAATACATTTCACAATTCAGATGTGGTGAGCAGTGCTTCTCAACATGTGAGCTTTCAGACTGCTGTGCTCAGCAAGTGGGTGCAGCTTCCTTTTAATGTACAATTTCCCAGGGCTAGACAATGCTAGCTACAGTTTTATTCCACTCTCTGATGTCAGAAGTATGGAGCAAAGAACTAGATCCTGATGATCACCTCTTGATGATATCACAGGTGGTCAAAAAGCTGGTAATGGTTAGGTATGTCATAATGTATAATCAGCAGTAGGGCAACAAAGGTATACGCTCAGTTTGCACTAAAAGCATCATAAAGCCAAAAAGAAACTCTTGAGCTTTCCTCCAGTGGAAGGAGGATTTGGGCCTGCAGAGCTTCACTGTCTTTAACCTGCATTTGGGGTAGCTTTCTGGCTGCTGCTGGAATTTCCTGGCCCTGGTGGATCAAACGAGACTTTTCGAAGTCACAGCAAAGTTCCCCGAAGCTTCCTGGAGCATCTCAAAAAGAAGAACAGGAGTACTTGTGGCACCTTAGAGACTAACAAATTTATTAGAGCATAAGCTTTCGTGGACTACAGCCCACTTCTTCGGATGCATATCTGTGATGGATGGATGATCATCATCATATTCAAGTCCGAGGATGTAAGAGATTTTATTTGTTTAGTTTTGTTGGCTTTTTGTAAAGGAACTAGGGTGACCAGGTGTCCGGTTTTCAAACAGCTGGTCGAAAAGGGAACCTGGCGGCTCCGGTCAGCACTGCTGACTGGGCTGTTGACTGTCTGGTTGGCGGAGCTGCACCAGGCAATGGGGCTGGCAGGCTCCCTGCTAGCCTCTGCGCCTCCTGGGAAGCAGCCAGCATGTCCCCCCTCAGGTTCCTACGTGTAGGGGCAACCAGGGAGCTCCGCACGCTGCCCCTGCCCCAAGCGCTGCCTCCACAGCTCCCATTGGCTGGGAACCGCGGCCAACGGGAGCTGCAGGGGTGGCGCCTGCAGATGGGGCAGCACGCAGAGCCGCCCAGCCTGCCTCCACGTAGGAGCCGGAGGGGGGGATATGCCGCAGCTTCTGGGAGCTGCTTGAAGTAAGTGCCTCCCGCAGCCTGCACCCTGACCATCCCCCTCCAGGACCCCAACCCCGTGGCCCACACAGCCCTGATCCTCCTTCTGCCCTCCGAACCCCTCAATCCCAGCCAAGAGCACCCTCTTACACTTCAAACCCCTCATCCCCAGTCCCACCCCAGAGCATGCACCCCTAGCCGGAGCCCTCACCCCCTTACACCCCAACCCCCTGCCTCAGCCTGGAGTCCTCTCCCACACCCTGAACCCATTTCTGTCCTTACCCCAGAACCTGCACCTCCAGCCCAGAGCCCGTACCTCCTCCCACACCCAACCCCCCTGCCTCAGCCACGGAGCCCCCTCCCAACCCCTCGGCTCCACCCCCCAGCCTGGAGCCCCCTCCTGAACCCCAAATTCCTCATCCCACCCCAGAGCCCACACCCCTAGCCAGAACCCTCACCCCCTCTTGCATCCCAACCCACTGCCTCAGCCTGGAGCCCCCTCCTGCACTCTGAACTCATTTCTGGTCCCACCCCGAAGCCCGCATCCCCAGCCGGAGTCCACACCACCTCCCGCACCCTAGCCCCCTGAGCCAGCCCGGTGAAAATGAGCGAGTGAGTGAGGGTGGGGAGAGCGAGCGACAGAGGAAGGAGGGGATGGAGTGAGTGGGGGGACCGGGCCTCTGAGAAGGGGCAGGGCATGGACGGGGCCTCAGAGAAGGAGCGGGCCAAAGGTGTTCAGTTTTGTGCAAGTAGAAAGTTGGCAACCCTAAAAGGGACTCACTAAGGAACTTTATCCTTTCAAAAGGTGCTTGAATGCCTGAACCAGGTTGCCTCTGGAAGCAGTGTCTAGATCTAGAGACAAGAGCCAAATTATTCCTTTGAGCCCAAATGCGTTGCAGAGAAGAGTCTTGGCAGAGAATCTGGTGATGTCACAGGAGGTTCAAAATGGAGAAGGAGATACATATAGTCATGTGAGTCATCATCACCACGTCTTGGGTAGGGGGAGACTGGATTGCTGATTTGGCAATCTTGAAAGGGAGTTGATCTATTCAACCATAACTTCCAAAATTTCATTAGGATACAGGCAACCTGAATCATCTGATTCAAAGTGCTCACGGCAGGAGAATAATTCCACTTCATAAGCACAGGACTGGGGTGAAGACAAGTTATGTCTAGGGGAATCCTCAGAAGAGAATGATTCGCTTTTTTGGCAGTGGTGTGTATAGCTCTTGCACCAAAGGTTCCAAAAAGGATGAGAGTCCCATACTTGGTGCTTCGATGGGATGAAGGGGGGAAGGGACACGCATCTGGGGATTTATCAATAAATTACAGGAGTATGAAGCCTTCCTCAAAGTGATCCCTCTAAGACTTTCTCCTTGCTAGACAGAAACTAGGGTGGAGGGAGAGGGAGAACAGGGCCACACAAATTCTCAAAACAGATTGCAGAGAAAATCTCTGTTTGTGAGCACAGAAGCAAAAAATTGAGGAGTAACATCAGAGCAGCAGATCATCAGGCACACCTGTAGAGGGTGCTGACAGGCAGAGAGCACTAGGGATTGGGGGAGAGCAGGAAAGAGAAAATGAAGAACTTCTTACATGCCTCTGATACTTAGAAAGGATGGAGAAACCTAGAAGTTCCAAGTCTGATGGAGCAGCAGAATCTCATGACTGAGAAATTCAAACTTAGTGTTGACACACACAGCTGTTAATGCATGCAATTATTAAAATACTCCACGCAACTTGACAGGCTCAAAAATCAACTATTTCTGTACGACACAATACAATGAAATAATGTTTCTATATAAAGCTCCTCACTCCACTATTTTTATTTTAAATTTGCTTCCTATAATCCCTACTATATGTAAAATGTAGAACTGGTCTTCCAAGAACCACTCTGTGAGGCATACTCTTGAAAAAGTGGCATAAAATGCAGTAGAGAGAACAAGTTTATTTCAGTTGCCAACCAATGCAATTCTGTAGGAGGCAATTTTGTAGTCTACAAATGGAAAGAAGCCATCAGGCCAGGAGCGCAAGCAATTGCAAAACACAAGTTCTTCCTCAGGGCAAAGGCTCCAAATATCAGTTCAATTTCAACATCGTAAAGGGATGTACCATGTCTCTGCCTGTGTCAAAATGGATCCACATAAACAAAAACTGCAAGATCACATTTGTGTCAGATCGGGGACAGATATCCTGAGCTCACAAAAAGTTGCATGCACCCTTTCCTTCTCAAGTGCTGCAGTTAACGTTCTGACAATCTGTGAAGCCACTGATGACAGGCCACAAATGAGGGCATGAGCAACTCATATTCACTGTGGTTTGTTTTTATTCTCATGAATGGGCTTAATAACAAAAAGAATGGACAGACAAGTAAAGGGCGAGTACAGGCATGAATAAAACGCCCTAAAACTATTCCCTGATGTATTTTATTTTACTTTTGCTGTAAACAAGAAAAAGGTATTTCTTATATGACTCTGTTAGAAAAAAATGGAAGGATTTCTCTTGGGAATATGTTCAATCACAACTTCTAGACCCTGGGTGATTAATACATTTACAACAAAGACGAAATCAATGTTTTGGGGGTTTTTATTTACCAGTAGTTGAAATATGGTCATTTACCATGTTCTCAAGCTCAATGCTTAATATAATGGGCATAAGCACTTTTCTTAATGAAAAAGGCATCCAAAGGCTGTAAGTGACCCTTCTCCTGCATCCACTCCAGACCATCTGCAATAAACTTTTCATCTTAAGAAGCTGAACTGATGAGGGATGGATGGAGGGGACTCAGGAGAGCTGAGTTCAATTCCCTGTTCTGGCACAGACTTCCTGTGTGAATCTGTCACTTAATCTTGTGCTTCAGTCTCCATCTGTAAAACAAAGGTAACAGTAATGCCTACTAAAAAGGGCTGTGCAAGAATAAATTAATTAGTGTTTGAGAGGGTCTCAGATAGTATGGAAATGGATGTCATTATACACAGATATGTAGAACTGAGAGCCTTAACAATTTTCACTTCTTCCATCAACCCAGAGGACATTTCAAAGGATGTGTGTGAAGCCCATTAGCTTTCTATTATTAAAACTAAATTGACCTCCTAATTTATTTATTGTTTAAACATGAACAACTCTACATTTCTTTCTCTACCCGGACACCAGAGTCAGAATCAGGGCTTCACACCCAAGAATAAAATTGTTCATTGAAGTCCCTAGCAATTTTTAAATGACAAAATTAGCATTAAAAGTGGTCTCTGGGCCAGAGAATGTTGTTGAAAAGGTAGCTGAGAGGAAAAAAAGGGGCCAGGAAACAAAAACAAAGAAACAAAAAAGTAAAATAATTTTATGAAGACATAAATAGTAGTTAAAGATACTTTTAAGCCTTTTCAATACCATTCTCTTATATTATGAAATAATATTTATAGATTTGCATAAAACACTTTCCAAATTGCATTTTAATATTAATTAGTCAAAGTTTAAAAATAAAAAGCCAAGATTTCCGGGGTACGCATTAATATGTTACTAGTACATTTCCTAGGTAACTAAAGGTAAAAGGCAAAGCACACCCAAGGTGTTTTACTAACTGCCTACTAATAATACACCACCTTTTTTATTTTATACGCGTGCACGCACACACACACACACACAAAAACCATGTGGATATATGAGGTATATTCTATAATACATCAGATTAATTAGAGTCACTACAAAATTGCTTAACTGCAATAAAAATGCCATTTAAAAATTAGGTAGAAAGCTACCATCTCTTTTGATGTATGTTATGACAAAGGAAATAGATCTTACATCTTGGTATCATGGGAAAGTTACTTTCAAAGTTCTTTTAAGGTGAAGATGAGATAAAGCAAAAAGTAAGGTAAAGTAATGAATCAGTCCCTCAAATGAGGAGGAAAAGGAGTTCTGAAACAAGTAATGCACACGGGCTTATATGTCCTGGACACATTTTACAGCAGCTGCAGGGAATTGGGCTAGATTATTCTTCTGCCCCACCAGTATAACGGGAGGGAGAGAATCACAGGCAACAAACTGCTCCATGTCCCCAGACATGCAGCTAGTTCAGGAAGACTTTGACTCCTCTACTAGACCGTGAGAAATGCCCCACCTGCCCTAGAACACACTTCCTTCCCCTTGTCATATGAAGTTACCTACCGCAGAAGGCAATTCTTTATGAAAAAAGAAACACCACATGCAGTCCATGTTCCAGTATAAAGTATCTGCAGATGTGAAATCCTTATGCCAAAATAATTTAGCAGATTAAAGATACATTGATTACACATGCACAGACTTGTAACGTTAAACCCTTATAACTTTAAAAATACTAGTTTTGTTTTATATACTTGTCTCAGTTAACTTTCCTCCTCAAACACTATGATCATGCCAAGTTTACAGTTTTTTGGTTCTACTGGGGTTTTTTGTTTGCTTTTGTTTTTGGGGGGTTGGTTTGTTATGTTTTCTAAGCACTAAAAAGATTTTTTTTTTTTACTTTCCATTTTAATAATGGATGAACTGTTTTAATTTTTTAAAATTTCTCTTTCAGCCCAGAAAGTTTTCAGAAAATTATGAGAGAACAAAATATGTGGTTTTCTTTCAAAAATTGCATATTACAGAAACGATACACCTAGGGATTGATTTTCAACAATGTTCAACATTCAGAGGTGCCACTGACTTTGAGTGGAGTTGCAACATGCTGATTACATAGAAATCAGACCCTGTGTTTCTCAAGCTGGGCACTCAAAAATTGGGTCACCTCAAAATCTAGTGAACATTTTTGCAAAACCTGGCCTGAATTTTTCCATGTTTCAGTTTCTAAAATAGAGCTAATATTTACCCAGCAGGCTTCCTCACAGAGGTATTACGTGGATTACTTAGTTAACAAAGCCTGTAAACCCTTCTGAAGATGAAAAACCACATATATACTAAATGTTATTAATTTTTGTATAGGAAAATAAATATTAAGGTGATAGAAAAGGAAAAATCCCACAGTATTTTACACTGGCAATGGCTAATCTATAGTTGCATCTGTCAACTTCTTTAATTGCTTGTTACGCTATTAAGCACGATAGGCATCTTTATTCACATGTAACTGGGTTAAGAAATGAAAAACCATGAATAAAAAGTAACCCTGCTTTTATATCAATTTTTGGTTTCAGAATACAATATGTATAAAGTGTATATATAGAACATGTCTTTCATGTTGTTCATCTTCACCTTCAATCAAGAGCAATGGAGGAAACTTGCTCTCATGAATTCAGAGAAATCAAATATAGGAACACAAAGAAAACTGAGAGACTGATTTGTTAATGAGCAAATTCCTCTATATTCTAGATATTTAAAAAAAAGGATTTTGTTTTAAGAGAAAAGGGAAATTGATTTTGGTAAATAAAAGGGTAGCCTAGAAGCACCTAAAATATCAGCTGATTATTTGAAAAAAAAAATTATCAAACCTGTGTTGAAAGTTTAAATCTTTAAAGCCAACTTTTTAATTTTCCAGTGTATTGAGTTACTAATTGGAAAACATTTCCCACAATTATGTTTGTAAAAGTCAAGTGGCTGGGGTAACGGGCAGTAATCAAGAAAACTACCATGAAATGCCTGAAAAACATTAAATTGATTTAAAATGATAAACAGCGTCAATTTTAAAGTGTCCAGAACTGGATTCACATGAAAGTAATCTGCAGAGCTGTAAAATCTGTTTCATGATTATATTTTATATATTAAACACATATCCTAAAATTTGGCTGTTATTGCACTTATTTTAAAGACACTAATGGATACCTTAAAAACATATTTTTTTTAAAAAAAATCATTTGTTATTTTACTGGTGTAGCTAAGAACATCACAAAATCTAAAAGTTAATTTATTTTCAAAGTTAATTTGCGTGTCTTCAGTTCTGCAGCTTTTCTATGCTAACTCTTGGAAAAATAGAGCCAGTTTGGGCACATATCCTAGTACTTGCTGTACACATGCCCCAACATGGTAAGATCATCATGCTCATACACCATCTTGGAAGCCTACATGAACTCTTTCATTCACCCAAGAGAAATAGTATTTGACAGATCTGACCAGCTGCTTTGAATCCAGAGGTGCAAATGAATTTGTTATTTAATGCACTGTCATTTTTAATAAATTAATAAAAGCACTGAGATGTGTGTTTTTAGTTTTATTCAGGCTTAGATTTTTATGCACCACTCACTATATTTCTGCCTCCCACCCTTCAGTCCTTAATAGTTTCAGAGTAGCAGCCGTGTTAGTCTGTATCCGCAAAAAGAACAGGAGTACTTGTGGCACCTTAGAGACTAACAAATTTATTAGAGCATAAGCTTTCGTGGACTACAGCCCACAGGGTGCCACAAGTACTCCTGTTCTTTTTCCTTAATAGTTGTACATCTTCTTGCTCTCCTACAAAATCCCATCAATTCAGGATTCCAGAATATTAGGATATATAATAGGATTCTGGACAAATTGGAGAAATGGTCTGAGTTAAACAGGATGAAGTTTAACAAAGAC